CCCAAATTTTCACCTGAACCTCCCAAATTTTCACCTGAACCTCCCAAATTTTCACTTGAACCTCCCAAATTTTCACCTGAACCTCCCAAATTTTCACCTGAACCCCTCAAATTTTCACCTGAACCCCTCAAATTTGCACCTGAATCCCCCAAATTTGCACCTGAGCCCCCTAAATTTGCACCTGAACCCCCAAATCGCCCCCCGGGCCCCCAAATCCCCCCCGGAGCGGCGGCCCCGCGGTTGTTCCCGGGTGCTGCGGGCACTCTCAGCCCCCCGAGGGTCCCCCTGGGCCGTTCCCCCGGGATTTCTCCCCCCGTTCCCCTCCCCCGGCACCGAAATTTGGGTTTTTCTCTCCTCTGGCCGCTCCCGGAGGTTCCCCCGGCTCCGTTTCGGCTCCGTTCCCGAGGCGCTGCCCCCGCCGGAGCCCGAGAGGGGCCGGGCCGTGCCGGGGGGCGGCTCCAGCCCGGTACCGGCGCGGGGGGAGCTCCGAGCCCGCCCCGCCGGAGCCTGCGCGGGGCCGCGGCCGTGGCAGCTCCGCGATGCCGCCTCCGGAGCCCATGCCCGGCTACGGGGAGCTGCTCCGCCGCGGCTACGGCAGCCTGGCCGCGGCCGCCCGGGGCTGCGGGGACTGCGGCTGGGAGCGGGCGCGCCGGAGCTGGGCCGAGAACGCGCACCTGGGCTGGCCGGAGGTGCTGCTGTGCGGGATCTGCGCGCTGGCATGGACCGCGCTGCGCCGCGCCTGCTCCCGCCGCCTGTTTCGGGTCAGTCCCGGGCCGGGAACGGGATGGGAACGGGATTGGAACGGGGATTGGAACGGGATGGGAGCGGGGATGGGAGCGGGGACAGCGGGGGCAGCGGCCGTCCCCGGGATGGGGATGGGGATGGGGATTGGGATTGGGATTGGGATGGGGATGGAGATTGGGATGGGGATGGGGATGGGGGCGATGCGCCGTTTCCGTTCCTGCGGCGAGAAGAGGACGATGCGCCCCCAATTCCGCTCCCGGCCCCGCATCCCCGAGCGCCCCGAGGGACCGGGAGAGCCCCCCCCGCATCCCCGGCCCCGCAGCCCCGCMAGGATCAGGGTTATTCCTTCCAGGTTATTCCCGGCCCGTTCCCCGCCTTCCTCCGGCGCTGCATCCCGGCGGACGGAGCATCCCGGTGCACCGGGAGAGCCCCCCCGCGCCCCCGCCATCTTTCCATCCCCGCATCCCCACCGGGCTCGGCGTTTTTCCTTCCCGCTTGTTCCCCCGTGCCCGCGCCTTTTCCCGGGGCTGTGTCCTGCAGGATT